GGATTTGGTGGGAATTGGTTTTCCACAAATCCAAGGAAATTACACGTGTGTGAAGGGAGAGATAGAAATGGAATTGTCAAGAAAATTTTGCAATTAAACAAGCTAAAAAGGTGGAAAATGAAAAATTTCCATGAAAACTTGGGCAAATTAAACAGGCCCTAAATGTGAGTTTTTATAATATGAAGGGATGAACAAGAGCCATTGAATGAATACGTATGTGGCTTCATCCTTGCAGCTGAGTTTTCTTGTCATAGATATCAATGAGTTAATCCTACGTTATATTGCATTTAATGTTATGACGATTTTACAACCTTAGACTTGCCATGTAAGACTAGATTTGACTTGTGGATCAAGTAAGACCACTTATTCAGTGAGTTGTCATATCACCCACTTGGTAAAAGATCTTGTATGAAGATCATTTCTACGGTGCCTTCTATTGATACTATGACACTTCGAATGACCTGTGTCACCACCATTTTCACCAAAAATATTTTAAAATTTAGAAATTTTTTAAAGATGTTTGTTCCCATTGAAATTAACTTCTTCCACAGTAAAATAGTGCCACCCCCCTAAAGTTTGAGGTTCTAGTAATTTATTACAAGAAAAGCACTAACATCCTGGTTTTCAGCAAGTTTAAAGGGTAAGTAAAAAAAAAAACTCAACTAATAAGTGATTTTGGATTCACCCACGGAACGTAAGTAATAAAATTTGGAGAGTGAAATTAAGAGATAAATGGAAAATAAAAAATGTACTTTTAAATTTATAAAAAAGTAAAAACACAGAGAGCCGAATAGATCTTAACCACAACAACAAACAGACAAAACATACATGGAACCAGGCCCGGTCCTGCTTAGAGTCAGACTAGGCCTGCATCTCAGGCCCAAAAACTAAGAGGGCCTCATATTGCTAGCCCAATTCTTTTTTTTTTTCCTTTGAACAATAGCAGTCGAGCCCCAACAAGACAAGAAGAGTAGCCCAAAACTATCAAGCTCAAGCCCGTATCCCTATCCATTATTCATTTTCCCCAAAATTCCCAAATTGAAATCCATTTTCCCTAAACGCTTCATCGCTTCCGTCTGAGTCCCGTCTCTCTCGCTCAACTTCTCCTACTTCCTCTTCCAATCTCCAGACTCCAGAGTTCCAGACTTCTAGAATCAGGCCAGATCCTGCTTAGAGGCGGATGAGGCTTGCGCCTCAAGCCCAGAATCTAAAGGGCCCTCATATTGCTGGCTCAATTTTTCTTTTCTTTGAACAATGGCAGCTGAGGCCTAGCAAGACTGCAAGAGTAGCCCAAAACTCTCAAGCTCAAGCTTGTATCCTGATCCATTATCCATTTTCTCCAAAATTTCCAAATTGAAATCCATTTTCCCCAAACGCTTCGTCACTTCTGTCTGAGTCCCGTCTCTCTCGCTCGACTTCTCCTACTTTCGCTTCCAGTCTCCAGACTCCAGAGTTCCAGACTTCCGGAAGCATGGAACTTGTCAATATGAAAGTCTTGTCAACTTTACACTTCGAATGTATCTCGATCATACAATCCATCGATCCATGCTCATTAACCTGTTGCTTCTCAACTATAAAATCCTCCAAGTTTCTACAAAATCCATTACTCTATCCAGAGTTTGAGAAAAAGACCCAGCACAGTAGAGGAGAAACGTGGACACAAAAAATTACAGCAGTAAATGGAACATAAAAAGGAACAATGAATCAGGTGATAACTGATCAGAAATAGGAAGAACCAGGCGATTCAATCCAGGGAATTGTTTTATTGAGGGTTTGCCTTCATTTTATTATAATAATAATAATAATAATAATAATAATAATAATAATAATAATAATACCTGAAACAATGTAATGATGCTAAAAATAACGTAATATATACAATATCTTACAATTGTTCCTTATGAATTTTCATAAAAAATCTTTATACAATGATTTCATTTCAATATCAATCTACAAAAATATTCAGAATAGCAACTTGAGGGACTAGGGTTCGCCTTTTCAAGATTTATTTGAATAATAATTTTTCAACCTTTGCTTTGTTGTATGTTTAATGAGAAAAGGTTTCAAAAAGACGCTTTCCTTTTATGACATAAATAAAGAAATTGCTCTCGTTCGTTGACAAAGCATAAGGCTAAACCGAATACTTTGTCTACCCTACTTTCTAGTGATATCATTCTAACGAACTTGTCTACTTGAAAAGAAAGTTGGAGCGTGTTCATGCCGCTGGAGTGTAAGAAATGGACTTTTACCGCCTTACTTCTATGTAAGGATAAGAACCAGATTATGCCTCTCAAGGCACAGCTCAATTGGTGGATCAATAAACATTGCCTAATTTCCAGTGGCAGGGTGGAGGTTTAAATCTTGGTGGGAACTTACGGTCAGATTTTTTTGGCATGGAGCAATCACTTTGGAAGAGGATCTCTTGTGCGCAGAAGTGTACAGGCGGTAGGGGGAACCTGTGATCCAGTTGAGGCATAACTCGCGATTTATCCCCTCCAAGGTTCTAAGGACAAGGGTCTTGGGGGTCCAAAATTTAGTTTAGTGTAAGTTGGGATACCTGGATATCAAAAAAAAAAAAAAAGGATAAGAACCAAATTAGCAGGAAAGAAGAGCTTATAATAATTGTACTTTTGTATGGAAAAGCCACTCTTTTTGTTGGGTGGGCTTATCATAAAGTATCTATTTATTTTAAAAAAGTAATTTTACGTCTCACTCTAGAACGGCTCCAACCCCTCTCAATAAAGAAATTTATTTTCGAGTGATCGAGTAAATAAATTTATGATTAAATTTTGCATCGAACACGGATTCAAAACGGCAATTTATTAGTTATGTGAATAGTTTTACAGCTTGTGCATTAAGGACATATAATTTGGTTTGATACTGAAAGCTAAAGAGAAGTATGGTTATAAAGTCAAACCATATAATTGCATATGAACATGTCCATCTAGTCAAACTCAAATCTTGGCCAATTCTTTTGTAAGATGATCCATTTTTTTAATCTAGTCGAAAAGTTAAAATGTATCCATTCATTTGAAAAGTTTCCGTCGATTTTACAATTGGGTATAAATTTGAGAACTATGGATTATATTTCAAAACTTTGAGAATTGTGGTACTTAAATAAAAATTTATTGATCCTAGTTGCAACAACTAGACCACACTTTGTGGCGGTAAAAGGCGTGCATGAGAGTGAATATCAGCGGGCTGCGGCTTTAATGAATTTTGACCTCCGTTCAATTAGGCACATGAGAATTGAATCTATTCTATATTATACTATATGGATCAATGGGTGTCAACGAGCAACTCCCGACTCGTGCTCGACTCGAGTTTTCTGAAAGTGGGCTTTTTTGGGCCCGAGCTGAGCAAAAGCTCAACTCTCTCTCTCTCTCTCTCTCTCTCTCTCCAAGCTGCCTGTTTGGAAGCTATTTTAGCTGCCAAACAGGCAGCAGATTTAGTTCCTCCTTTTTTTTAACGGGCCGAGCCTCAAGCAGGGCCTACTCGGGATTTTACCAGGTCGAGCCATGAGCGACCTGAACCGACAAGCCTAATTGCCATCCCTAGATCAATGTGCTGATAACAAATGGTAATTGGAACTAATTATAGTATCAAATTGAAGAATGTAACTCCGACTCTATGTTCTTTAGAAAACACTCAATAAAGATCCAATAAACATTGCTCTGTACCCTACAAACCATCAAACGGATGAGAAAGAAAGCTGCTCTGATGCTCCCATGGCACATCTCCAAGTGGTAAAAGGAGAGAGTGGAGAAATCTAGCTTTACTTGAGGCTGCTGCGTCAAGGGTTCGAATCCTGAAATATGGATTTGGCTCTTGGGTAAGTGCAAGTGTACAAGCAGCTTTCCACCCTGTATCCTTGGAGGCATAACCTGCGATTTACCTCCCTTACGATGCTCCAGGACAGAGGTGATAAGGGACCCTTAAGGTTAGGGTTTAACCTTTAAGAAAGTTGCTCTGATACGAAACAGACGAGCACATGGGCAGTACCAGCTTCATATCACATGCATTTGGCTTCATTCAAGATTCAAATCGTGCATATGTTTTAGGCATAACTATCCTCTTAACGAGTACAGCATTTGTAACAATCACACCTCCCTTTACAAAATCAACAGGTTGACATTTGCCATCCATTGAAGGACAAGTTGCAGCAATTTCTCCAAATTAAACAACTAATGCAACATGACCACTATCCAAGTATATTTATTAAAAAAAAAAAAACATCTAGTATGCACACAACAACATAACCCTCAACAGATATAAGTTCACATTTGTTCGTCACTCAGAAACTCAAATTACAGTGATAAAATTCGAAATGAACTAAGAACAGATGGGAATAATGCCATCTAATGTAGAAAACTGAGTCCTAACATCATTAACAGTTTTACAATTATTCCAACAATTTAATTCAATGGGAAGGACAACTTGCAGCTATTTATCGAAATGAAACAGCTGTGCCATTTAACAATGACTAATCTTAGGCCATTAGAAATCCTTTGTACCACTATCCAAGTAGATGCCCTTAACATCAAGATTGTACACACGCAATAACTTGATAAATCGAAAGATAAAACCTAGTACAACATGAGAAAACGCATGGGTTGCAAAAAACTCACTTTAAGTTTAAAACTTACTTGATGTGGAGAAACTCAAAATTACAATGGAAAACTCGAAGTAAACAGAGAATAACAAAGATTCTTCAATAGTCACCTCAATTCAAAAACCTTTGTAACACATCCAAGTAGCTGTCTTCTTTAGTGCTTGTTTGGTAGAGATTTTGATAATTGATTTTTTGATCGTTAGAGATAAAGTGAGTCCTACCTATGAGAGAAGAATTCAAAATAATAGTTGTAATAGTAAAATAACGATAAAAAAATTGATTTTAATTGGCTTTTTAGCTTTACCAAACAAGCTCTTAACATCAAGTTTGTATGCACAAACTATGGTAATAATCGAAAGATAAAGGTACCCTCACATTAAAAAGATACTGGACAAAGTCGAACAAATGTTATGCGGAAAACCACACAATTTCACATTTATTTGTCATCGTGAACTTCAAATTACAATGAAAAAACTAGAAACAAACTTGGAACAGATGGGATTAATGCCATCTAATGTAGAAAACAAACTAGTAACATCATAGAAAGTTTTCTAATTATTCCAACAATCCAATTTTATTCAATTCAATGGGAAGATATCTTTAGAATGAAAGATTTATTGATCCAAGTCCTCAAACTTCTAGACCCCTTCCGACTCATTTCCTGTGACTTCTCATCATCAATGGCCTTCTCTGTCTGAGGCTTCTTGCACAGAATGAAATTTCTCACCCCAAGCGATCCAATTGACTCCCATGGAGACAGAACTACAACGAAGGATAGCATATAAACAAAAGCTCCTCCTAATAGATATATAATTATCACTCAAGATAAGTACAACATAAATGAAATTAAGAACCTAAAGCAAAAAAAAAAAAAAAAAGGAGCATAAGCATTGCCCTAAAAAGTTAAAAGTTGATAATCAAAATGTTCATCAAAATTATAATACATTGATCAGAATCGATAAGTTTATTTATTTCAATTATTCTAAAATCCAACAACATTAACATATATATAGGCACAATCAATAATACTATAAGATCAATTGTTTATAGCAATACAACCAACCGTACAAATCAATCAAATTTAAGAAACTCAATTCCAAAAAAAAAAAAATCATTATTAAAAGAATCCCATAAATTTGATAAGAAATTAATACCTTCAGTTGCGGCATTGGGGCAGTACAGAACGAAATTGTTGAGATCTGACCCGAGAATGGGTAATCGGCCCTCACGAGCATACGATTTCAAAGCCGTATCAATCACAGCAGCAACAAGTTCCTCCTCATTCACCACGAATCTAATCGGGCCCGCACTACCCAACACCGTAACACTAATCAAAAATCGGTTGCCCTTTACGGCCTGATTCTTCTTCTGCTTATAAAGCAACATATTTAGATTTTTTTTTCTTTTATAATTGAATGGCAAAAACAAAGAACAAAATGAAAAAAACAAGAGAGTAAAACGAAATCGATTCAATGACACAAAATGTGTTTATCGATTCACGGGTCAAGACCTAGGCAACGGTAGTACCAGCCTTCATTACAGGATCCAAAACAGAAGAAGGAATTGGCAACAAAAATCCCCCTTCTTGGAGAAGAACAAGAGGGGACGAACATCAATTGTACAGAAGATATTTCCACCATTCACAACGGAATTGAATGAATTGAATCTTCGAAATAAGCTTCAAGCAACAAAGCAAACACAGAGAGAAAAGGCAAATAGAGTTGTATAGTAAAATCGACGATTTAAAGGAGCGGTGGGGTATCGGTCCAGAATAATGTTATTTGCACACAAGCACTTACATGATAGATTTACATACAATTAGGTGTCATGGTAAAGTTTTTTTATTTGGCTGAAGAAATTTTGACCTATTTATGTCTCACTATATAGATCATTATATAAATATAGCACAATCAAGGAAATTGATTTTCTAAACATAAGTGATTAGCTTATGCTAAACGCTTGAGTGACATGACACACAACAAAAGGTAGTGGAAAATAATGACTGGTTACAAAATTGATTACGGAATTTGTTGTAGTCTGTCACGTCACTTAGGGATTAGCATAAGTTAAGTATCATTGCTTAGAAGACCAATTCCTGCACAATCAATCTTGTGATTAGAATACTAATTATAATAGAATAATGTTGTTTGTATGTAATAAGATTATATAATGATTTGGACCTTATTGCATGTATATCAAAATTTACATAGGAGAGTACATAATATCACATAACACTCTACCATTTGACAATTTAAAATATGGTCAACATTTCCATTCAATCTATTCCCTTCATATCATTTCCGATAAATGCTTAATTACCATTTTTATGTATAAGTAGTAAAATATTAATGATTTAAATAAAGATGAGATGTTAATAAGAGTGGGAAAGTTTTGTTTTATTTATTTATTTATTTATTTTTATGAAAATGTTGATCCCATCATATTTCATCGTTATATGTATGTAAACTATTATGTACTTATAGCACAATTGATTATAGTAAGAGTGGTTATATTTTCATTGCAATTTTTCTTTGATACACTACATTTTAATAGCAGTTAAACTTTTCAATCTTTGCTCATTATAGTAATTATTTCATTAATTTTTTTCGTCGAATTATTATCTTCAACATTCCATTAATTAGAATGTCTCATCATTGATAATAATTTATATCAAATATTTTGTTTTCTTGCTTTGAAATGAGGAAAAAGTACTTTTCACACTTTTTAATTTTCTTTATTTTTAAAATATTATGAAAAGTTAGTTATTTTACATCATTTCAACGAACATTTAGACATACAATTATGGTGTTAACTAATGAAAAGTTTAAAAATAATAATAGCATGAAAAATTATTAAGGAAATAAGTGCTATAATGAGCAAAAAGCATATATTAAGAACGCTAAATACAATTAAAATGTGGTACAAGAAATAAAATTGTGGTGCGAATCTAATTACCCTTATAGGAATTATATTGTCTTGTTTAACTAAGTTGTGTGCAATTAGAATGCTAAAAGCATGTTTGAGCCTCATTATTTTATAACATCACATTTGACAATAACAGATTGATAGATAATGCGTGGTTCAAAAAAAATAAAAAAAAAATAATAATAAATTGATTTTACGTGTAATATCATTTTATTAAAAAATGTGCAGTTAAAAAAAGAGAAAAATGTATTTTAAAAAGAATAGGGATCGAACAAGGGCCAACTATGAGTACTCAGTTGTAGCTCAAACTATGAATTGAGTCCGTCAAATTTTTACAGGCAAATTTGGAGTAGAGGTATCAAACCTTTAAAAATTGTGTCAAAAGATTCTAAACCTTTTTATCTTAGCATCTACCTCCCAAATCTTTTAATAAATTTACGCCGAAAAGATATCTGGACGATTTCCATTTAAAAGCCTATTAGTTGACCAACATTTCACAAATTAACTAATTTAATTAAGCCCCTATTTGACAACTATACTTTTCAAACTCTTTTTCTTCATACTCATTTTTAAACATAAATTCAAATAATAAAATATGATACACATAAACCTAAAACTTTTGCCATATTTTTTAACCACACATTCTCCTAAAACTAATCATTCAAAACTCCTTTTTTTTTTTTTTTTCTTTTTTGAAAAGTAGGATTGTCAAACTGGGGTTGAGGACAAAAGAGTCTATACACATAATAAAGATATTTAAAATTTAAATAAGAACAAGGTTTTCAAGTATGTATCATTTATTCGTGGTACTTTTAAGTCCTTCGATGACATTTATATATGTCACTATCAAGTGAACCATGTAAATAGGTAGTGACTACATCTATAAGGCGTATATCGAGCTCTTGTAATACGTCAAACTAATTAAGAATTTAAAAGTGATGTGTCCATTATGAGAAAATATGTTTTTTCATAATTAAATTTTGGTCTTTGTGATAAACTTTGAGTTACAAGTCGAGTTTTGTATCTTGTAAATTCATTATTTTTCATTTATCTTTCGTACAAAAAACCTACTAGTATTCTACATTGATTATATTTCAAGTGTTCGAACTACATGTTCAAACACTTTTAAATTCTCTAAGAAATTCAATTCTGCCTATGAAACTTCTTTACATTTTGGACAATCATTTTTATGATGACAGTCTTTAGCAAACTGTGGTCCAGGATCCTCATTTTGCGTAATATCAAAAGTCATGTTAAATGCAAAAATATTGTCTATAACAATATTATTCTGTTCCCATAGTTTATGATATAATATATAATTCATTGAAATTTCATTATTTTTTGGACACTTATAGTTTTTCAAGAAATATATTTTCAATATTTGATTCAAACTTTTCTAATATTACTTCTTTCGAACTTGTTGGTTAATTTTTCTATTATACTTTTTGCTTTTTTGAGATACGGAATTTTTCGAACCTACATGTTGACCATACTTTTAGCGTATTTGAGATTTATTTGCTACGGCAGATTATTCTGTAGAGACAATAATTTTTACTAAAATAATTTGTGCTAAAATATATGACTTTGTTACTTTTCTTATGTCGACAAATCATCAGGTTATTGATTTACAACTTTTTGCAAATAAAGGATTTTTTTAACCTCTTACTCACATTGTTTGTTGTAGGATCAAAGTCAGATAGAATTGTTTCATTCCAAGATATTTACCTTATTTTTAATGATATAGTTTTTTCCCTCTTAAAGTTGGGAAAATCATTTCATCAAAATGATAATTTGTAAAACGTGCAATAAATAAATCACATGTTAAAAGTTCAGGATACCTAATAATAGATGGTAAACTAAAACCCACATAAATATCAAGTCTTCGTTGAAGACCCATTTTAGTAAATTGTGGAGATGAATAAGGACTGAGACAACACAACTAAAAGCCCATAGGTAAGAGATATTAGGTTCATGACCAAATGAAAGTTACAAAAGTAAATATTGATTATAGACAGTTGCTCTTATACGAAATAATAATGTAGCATGTAATATGATGTGACCCCAAACGGAAGCATGGAGTTTTATTTTCATGAGTATTGGTCAAGCAATAAATTGTAGATATTTAATAAACGACTCTGCTAAACCATTTTGTATATGTACATGTGTAACCGAATGTTTAAAATAATCCCAATTGATATACAATAATCATCTAATGTTTGTGATCTAAATTTACCAGTATTATCAAGACGAATTCTCTCGATTGAATAATTGAGAATTGAGCTCGTAATTTTTTGATTTGAGCAAATAGTTAGCAAAAATTACATTTCCAGTGGAAAGTAGGCAAACATGTGATCATCGAGTAGAGGAATCTATTAATAGCATAAAATAATGAAATAATCCATATGGTGGTTATATTGATCACATATATCTTCATGACTTATTTCCAAAAAAGTTGGAGATTCAATATTGACCTTTGTAA